TGGTTTGTGCCCATCGATCATCTGCAACATATACAGTTTATTCCCTCAAGGTGGTAGAACTTGTTTCGCACGAAACACCACATGTATCGCCATGCGATGTTGGAGTGGGACTGCGTGATGTCCCAAAACATGGGTACAACCCAAAACACATCCGATAGCGATACATTCACAACCGCAAACACGCACACAGTAACAACATTTATATTCGCTGTTGAGCGACCATTACTGACTGTGCTGGACCATCAACTTACTATACATAAGCGCCTGTTTAAAATAGGCATACGTTTTGGTATTTATTTTTCTCTAAATAAAATTGTGCCTTTTATGTCATGAGATATATCATTTCCGTTTGGAACTCTGTCAGCAGTGACAATCGCATGGTGTCAGTGAATTGCCTCCAGAAGATGCTGTAATGGAACTACTCTCGAATCAACTCCGCGTGGTCTCCTATGTGCACGAGGTGGCAACCCTGTCCGTGTATGCCCTGCGAAGAGTGATTGTTGCATGGCAACAGAATCAGTGTCCAGTACTCTTACGTGGAGGATCTCGTGAAAATCGTATTTGAATGATGCTTTCGATGCAGTCGTTAGTCAGCGTGCTGGTGAGACCTTCAACTCGCTACAGGCGGGAAGCCGGTTTAATTGTGGGTGCTTGCCCAGATTTGCACTCGGAATCTCAGCGGTGCCGACTTCAAGCTTTGCGCTATAGTACTTTGTCTACTCGGAGATCCCATTTGGTTACAAGACCCTTGCCCGGATTCAAACCTAGGATTTCGGCAGCACTGACTCGGTACGCACGTCAGGCAGAGCTGCGTACACATTCATATCAACACCCGTGGAGTAGGCCAAGTCAACATTTACATTGCAGCTTGGTAAACACTGAATTCTTTCTCTCCAAGTGGCTTTTTAGTGGCGGCAACTGAAAAATTACGTAAACTTTATGTACTCGTTATGTCCTCCAAAGTGCACTTGAGACATGGGGATCACGATATGACCAGTTGCTGTAGATCACTGCTCGACTTGTCACTGCTGGATGACATTGGGGGGCAGCGCTAGCGTCATTGCGTGCCCGTGCTGGAATATTAATACCGTGAAGGGTAGCGGAGATAGTTCTTATAGATAGTATAGATAGTTCTTATAGTTGGTATAGATAGTTCTTATTAAAAAGGTAAATTAGCGGCGCTCACATTTTTTGGGGCCGATTGCTTGAGCGTTTTATTGAACGCACTTAATACATATAAATAATAATCCTATCGGTGAAACGAACTGAAGAGTATAATTACACATTTCGGTATGGTGCATCTTGTTAGTACTTAGCGGAGGTTTGTTTTCTCCAAGCTCAGCAGGTTACCGATATAAAAATGATTAATGTTGTGGTTTCACCCATTTACACTTTCCTACCCTTCACTTGTGTTTATAATTAGGCATTTCATTTAAACCTCTCTGTTAATAATGATGATTATCTCATATACAAACATTGTTAATATATATGACGAATCAGGACAGGAGAGCATTGCCAGGAACATAGGTTGTAGGCAACGTGGAAAGTGATCATAAATAGTCGAGCCGTCGGGTATCCAATACCGCAATGGTGCAGTCCATCGCTCAAGTGATGGCAGCAGAGAGGAAGTCGTCGTGTTCAATTCGAGGTCACGGCGACCCTTGTCATTCAGCCCCACGGTCGTCTCCCGATGTTGCACTCACTCTCACCGGTCCTCTCACGCAGTACAAGCTCCTCCACATCCCCAGGAGTGGCGCTAGACAAACCAAGTTCACCATTAGGCAGATGGGGTGGGAGACCTCCGCATTCTTGAAAATAAAAATGTTCGAGTCAAAATCCAAACATCAACTCTAATCCACACCCTTATACACATCAACGACGCGAATTGACACGATAATTGCCAATTCATCTCTGTCGTCCCTCCATTGTTTGTCTCTGTTATATCATCAAAACGTCTCACTCCATCTGCTCTCCTGTCTATAGCTCGCCTGTCACCTCACGACATCTTTCTCTCATCAATGTCTTGTCATCTCACTCGGAGTTTAGACATTTAAAGTGGAGGGGCAAAATTATTCATGCCGAGGGCCTCCAATTGGCTGGCACCATCACGGCCTAACCCTTGCGCACATCCATCCACCCCTCTTCGCAATAACCACGTTCTCACAAACTCACTAAACATCCTTCCCTTTTCACAAATCAGTTGTTATGAAGGCAATTCATACACATTTCAAAGGGCAATTCTCTAAGCACTCCCTGATAATTGGATTTACTCAACTTTGGTTTTCCACGCCCTTAATTAAATTGGGTAATAGAGATTCACCTCCACATTGTACCCCGACTTCATCAATAATTGGCTTATTGAATGCGGCAGCGCTGACTCTGCCCACTGCACAAAAAACACCACCAAAGCACACGACGTCAGCTGCCTCAATAACTCTTCACATTCACGTGATCTCGCGTGCCGACCCGGCCCACCGTGGTAACGCCAGCTGATGGAAGCAATATACATGATCACACACGATGATGACGGAGTTGTGCCGAGGGTCCATTATGATCCAGAGTGTTCCCTTCATCCAACCCTGGCACCGTGACCCGGTTTAAAGGGGGCATACAACCACACAAGGGTGGGGGGGGGGGGCTTATCCTTCGGCAGGGGGGGCCTCAGCCAACGCCAAGGGGCAGCAATTTAAGCCTGGGTTGAGATGTAAACTATTGCTGAACCACCTCCTTCCTCTTAAAAAAATAATTTCACTCGCATTCATGATGCGCACATCCAAGGTGGATCGAGCCGTACCCAGCGAAGGATTGATCTCAACAACTCAATGCTCTGTGGTCTTGTCGGCTCACCTGGGGGGTTGCTTCAATCTCACAGCCCAGAAACGAATGCAAATTCCTGCACCGTTGAGGAAGTCCATGCCAGACTCGAAACCATTAATGATGATAACAGCCCCTTTGGCCCCTGCACTACACACTTAGATTGAGGATTCAGGCGAATTTGCACATGCACGGTATGGGCCAACCAGCAGGCTCGTCTTAACACGGAGTTAAATAGTGCAACGATGTTTAAGATATGAGCGAGTACAAGTCTGCGGCAATGGTCGTCCATGCTGCGCTATTCCTCTTCTCTTGATCTTCCTGTCCAGCCCCTTTACAGAGGCCGCTGCTTCCACACGCTTGTGGCGGCGGAAGGAGCAGCGGCAGCAGCAGAAGACCTTCAGTTGGCGACCACCGTCATCAACTCCCACCTCCTGCTGCTGTTCTTTCCGTGCCATTCCTCTCCGTCCATTGTTTTCTCCATTGTCCTCCGCTCGTTTCCTTCCACGAGTCGTGACCGTGCCATTGCTTTTGCTGGACTCCTGTTTCAGTTTCATTTCAATTTCAATTTACATTATTAGGTATAGCCCTGTGAGCCATGAGGCTCTTGACTCGGGTGCAACCGCAACAAACTAAAACATGAACAAAGAACATCTTAAAGTGACGATGCGCAACAGAAACATCCAGGAAAAAACAGTAAAATCTTCCAGAAAAAAACACCGTATCTCATTAGACCTCCTTTGCCAGTACCAAAATATAATAGGGGTTTTCCCCTTTTTTCTGGCAACAAAACTGAAACCTTTGACAAGGATTAATGTCTGCATTAACCACAATACCTGCATTCAAAATGCAAACAAAAACATACTATGATAATATATGCATTATCCTTGAAACTGATTGGTCCACAAGGGACGTCTTTCTTTTGAGCCTCAACCTAATTGGTGCTCGCCTTTTGGCGTCATCTGGTATCTCAACGCTGTGTGCAAAAATCGCAATGGGATGCAAGTCTAACAATAACAACCATAAGACAATTTAGATAAAGTTATCAGGCTAATTCCGTACTTCAACAAACATCGCTTAACCATACGTTTTCGAAATCGCCAAAATAAAGCTATAAAAACAATGTAACAGTGATCATAGGAACTGATTCAAATTGAACAATAAACGATATACACATATAACATGTGCGACCAAACTTTGCAGCCATAGCTAGCAGTTTGGTGGCATTCTTCCGACCAATACCATAGCAGTCTGTTTCACAATTCTTTATCGTTCATTCCATCTTAAAGTTATTTTTGTCTGTATTTATTATTCTATCGAACCTTGTCACTCAGAGTGTATGTGTAAACATGTCATTTGTATAATTAGCAGCATGTTTCCCTCCTGTGTTCCCGACGATTGTGATCCATACATTGCTTCTGTTAGTACCAAGGTGTGGTACAGTCAAATTTTATTTTGTATTTTTCCTTTCACGTCTTATTCAGCTGTACCAATTTATCCAGTTAAAGTCATGTGGAAACTAAAATATATTGGGCTTCCTATGCACAACTTGGAAATTAGTTCGAATGTGTATTGTGTTTTAAATCAACTCATCAACATTGTCAGGAATAATGCATTTATTTGCAGAAACATATCAGTGAATGTTATTGTTGCAAAGGTGTATGAGGATTATGTAAGGGGATGCTGATGATGAAAATAAGATCCTTAATTATATTTACCTTGTGTGCTTGCATATTAGTATTTATCCATAATGCCTCATACTTTTTATTTAACTAAATGAAAGTAATTATTTACATCGCTCGGTTATCTCACTACTGGATGAAAGCCTTCCTGAACCGAGTTCTTCACTGGTTGAGTACGGCAAGGTAATGGGGTGCCCAGGACCGGCTGAAGCTGTCGTGGCCACTAACCACTGTGCTAACCACTGTGGCACCGCTCCCTCATGAGCGCAGCCTGAATAGTCAGGGCAGGTCAACCACCTGCTTGGCTCTCCTGCTCGGTTTCAGTGTCAGGAGGTGGATCGGTCATCCCATTCAGCTTACATGTCAAGAGCGCGTGCCGTGACAGAGCAGCGTAACACTCAGCTGTTGCAACACCGGAGGAACACGCGTGGTGAAACGCTGCGATGGGTCAAAGAAAGTATCGTACATCACGAGACATGAGCAATAATGCATGCAACAAAGCTGCACTGGTTAAGGTAAGCTTTATTGTTTAGTGTCGCCGTTTCACAACAGTGCTATCTAAAGCCTGGACCCATTAAAATATAGAAATGAACGTATTTGAACTAGTATTAAATATTATTTTTTATTATTTTATTGTTTCCCTTCTACGTGACTTTACTGAAAGAACCAAGAATATGAATCCCTGCAGTCACGGAAGCTTCAAATCAAAATTTAGTATTAAATAAACAAGTGAATGTTTCAATCAAGTTTGGTCGTCTGAAGAGAGTGAACGTTTGCAGCTGTTAATCATGTTAACTTCCTCTGCGATAAATAAATTAAGGCGTAAAAATTACACTCGACGTGCAAACATGTGACTTGTACACGTTATCGCACGCGATAGGGGACACCGAGTCTTTCTAAGTGTGGATACACACACGCAAGTTAAAACTGGTTGTCAAACTTTTACTGGCTTAATACTGCGTTTTAGTACTAACGTAACACCTGCTTCACGTAGCTGGTCACCGACACGCTCCGATTGAATACAGCTGAACTCCTGCACTTCGATCGACCTGACGGAAACTTTGCCAGGACTTTCGTTTTGAGCCAGCTTACCACAGTCAGCCACACAGACCCCTGCCGTGACTGGCATGGACACGGCCACCAAGGGCCTTTTTACGCTCCCTCCTCGAACGCTCCGTCTCGCTCACCCGGGAGGAGCGGGGCCGGGCACTCCGTGACTGGAAGCTGATACGGCACCAGGCCTCTCGTTACTGCCGCGTCCGCGAGGGCGGAGACCCACGGAGGCCTCTCTCTGGTCCTCTGTTCGGGCACACAGTCGAGCCACTGCCTTAGGCACCGTAAAACCCTTCGTGGGGCTCAACCACTCGTGCCTCTAAGCATTTGCGACGCAGTTTGGTCCAAAGGTACCCAGGAAGCTCTCGACCCCACAGGTTTAGCAAACACGGTGGGTGCTCCCTCTTTCTCAGTAATCTCCCCCTTTGCGAGATGCCAAAGCTATCATTCCAAGCCCATCTAGAAGGCTCCCCTATAAACGCTTCGTGTCTCCCAGGAGGCAATGCCTTACAAAGGCCTCTTTTTTTTCCCTCCGGGCCCAACTCCCCCGATGAGGAACACTCCTCCTCCCTGGGCTCTTTAACCCCCTCCTGCAGGGGAGGCGGTCATCCTCCCGAGTCATCCCACTTGTCCATGACCTTCCTTGTCTTGGCCTCCTGTGTGGTGGGAGTACCCGAGGTGCCCGGGGCTTTGCCCCCACACTCAAGGGAGAGCCAGACGTACTCACTCTGGCCTTGAGCCCTATTAACAGGAGGTTCAAAATCTCAGCCGCTGGTCTGCCCAAACCACTAAACAGGGCCCTCAGGGTCTCTCCATATTCAAAGGGTCCCTCTGGCCAGAGTCTCGCTCTCCATGGGACAAGAAATCCCATTGCAAGTGCTGCTCTGGGGAAGTGCAGCGCGAGCGTCTCTCTCTGCACGAGCCTCCCCACGCGCCGACTCCACCCTCCTGGCCGACAAGTTTTGCGAGGCCTCCGCCCAGCGCCACCTTCCGGCCTCCGACAGGGGGCCTCGCTTCCCCGCTCCCCACTCCCTGTTTGGGGGGCCGGCGGGCGCCGCTCGCGTCCCAGAGGTTCCCTCCCCCAGCCCCTGCTCGGCGCCCTGGCGCGTGAGACCGCTCCCGCCGACGCCGCTGTCCGACGAGCGGAGGGGCTACCGGTTGTCGAGCCGCGGCCAATTCTGATTTTGATCGGTATAACCACGATGGCAATTACGATAAAAGCGTGGGCGGTTACGATCACATTAGAAATTTGATCATCTCCTGAGGAAAGGGTGCCCGGTTGGCTTAATTCTGCTCGAATTAAGATACTTAATGCAGTTCCCACTATTCGTGCTCAGGCCCCGAAGATGAGATACAGGGTACCGATGTCATTGTGATGAGTGGAGAATAATCAACCAGTGGGGCAGCCACGACCTGTGGGGCAGCCACGACCTGTGGGGCAGCCACGACCCGTGGGGCAGCCACAACCCGTGGGGCAGCCACGACCTGTGGGGCAGCCACGACCAGTGGGGCAGCCACAACCCGTGGGGCAGCCACGACCTGTGGGGCAGCCACGACCTGTGGGGCAGCCACGACCCGTGGGGCAGCCACGACCTGTGGGGCAGCCACGACCCGTAGGGCAGCCACAACCTGTGGGGCAGCCACGACCCGTGGGGCAGCCACGACCCGTGGGGCAGCCACGGGTCGTGGGGCAGCCACAACCCGTGGGGCAGCCACGGGTCGTGGGGCAGCCACAACCCGTGGGGCAGCCACGACCTGTGGGGCAGCCACGGGTCGTGGGGCAGCCACGACCCGTGGGGCAGCCACGACCAGTGGGGCAGCCACGACCAGTGGGGCAGCCACGACCAGTGGGGCAGCCACGACCAGTGGGGCAGCCACGACCCGTGGGGCAGCCACGACCAGTGGGGCAGCCATGACCCGTGGGGCAGCCGCGACCTCGGGAGCCGCGTGCAGCACCGCTTCTCTGCTCGCTTTTCCCCCACGGAGTTTTGGCGGCAAACTCCGCTCCCCCGGAGGCTCTCTTCCCCACCCACGCGCATTCAGGGCGCTGAATTGAACACATTCTGTTGAAAGGAATGCTGCCAACGCTGCACAGAACTTTCACGCCAAATCAGCCGCAATATGCAGCGCTGTGCTGCTTATCAGCGTTCCTGGCGGAAACCGATTACCTGCAGGGTGTCTTGAACGTCCTGCCCAAACAACTTGCCGATGCTATCTTTTGAGTTTTACTACAGAGCTAAAAAAACACACTTTGCTAAGCCGCCACTCGCAAACTCAAAACACGGAACAGGAGATGGTGGAGGGGTCACGCGGTGCGGAAGGGTTCCCCTCCGGGCACTAGAAGTTACAATAACAACAAATTGATGAGTTACAATAATAACAAATTGATGAGTTACAATAATAACAAATTGATGAGTTACAATAATAACAAATTGATGAGTTACAATAATAACAAATTGATGAGTTACAATAATAACAAACTGATGAGTTTCAGAGTGTCCGGCACGGCACGGCACGGAGTTCAAGTGTATCCAATTGGAGCGTGTCGGTGACCACCGCATAAAGCAAACCATGTCCACGGGTGGGTACGCAATGACTGTTAAAAGCACTGTAACAAGCCTGTGCGCCCAGGACATTGCACTTAGGTTGTGAAGTTACAGTCTGTCCGTACGACAATGGCACAGTGTGATGCGCTGCGACACGGTGACCTAGTCGCCGGCTTCCATCTTGATGTGTGGTGGTTCTCCAGCAAGCATGGCCGAGGGGACCACGCTGCTCCTCTGCTTCCTCAGCCCCTTGCTCTCATTCTGCAGCTTCTGCCGGATGTAGCTCTTAATCTGAGTGTCCGTCTCCATTGGGAAGAAGTGCAGCACCACCCCTGTGAATGCATTCATAAACCAGGTCACTGCCTCCAGTCGGTCCGAACCAGGCACACTTCTTTCTCTAATTTTGTCATCCTTCTGCCGCACCTCCGGGTAGCACGGTTGGCTACGTAAGGTGCGAAATAAGTTAATACGTAATTATGGCTGCATAAGCAAAGGAAAATAACAAGGCAGCCACACAGACCAGCAACGGAGATTTCTCCCACTTCTCTAAGAATCCTTCACAGATGAAGATAAATAAGTTACTTGACACTTTTGAATGGATTAAATGGCCAAGTCGATTAGGTATTTTAACACATTCCTGCGGAGGGGGCTGGTAGGAACGTTGGTTGCTCGGTCAGTGGCCAGGGTCAACGGCGACACGTGGTGTATTCCGCAAATATTCCCGACTGTGAGGACGGGCACAAGCCGACGTGAGTAGGTGAAACGTTGAGTTTTATAAGGACACCACGGGGTGACCAGCCCCTCCCCACCCAGCCCCACCCCACCCTCCCCTCCCTACCCAGCCCCTCCCTACCCTCTCCTCTCCACCCAGCCCCACCCCTCCCATTTTTTTATATCCAAATGTCTGGATACACGTGGACAGACATCCACAGACATACACAATTAATCCCCTGCCTCCTGCGAGAATTAATCCCGGTTGGGCTTCCAGTCCACTACCTTTCCTACCAGTACCAGTATAAATGGGCGCTAGGTGGCGATGTTTTTATATATCCGGGTGTCCGGATACACGTGGACAGACATCCACAGACATACACAATTAATCCCCTGCCTCCTGTGAATTAATCCCGGTTGGGCTTCCAGTCCACTACATTTCCTACCAGTATAATTTAATATTTAATTATCAGTTATTCATATCATTCTGTTCGAAGATGTACAGTGCATGAACACTGCAAGTGCTGAGCAAAATCTAGCGTGAGCCAGGTTGCTTCCCCAATTTTAGAAAGTAATTTTTACATGGGAAAACTGCTAAATGTAATTTCTCAAGTCGATACATTTTGGAAATAATATGTTAATGACATTTTCATGCAGTTATAAATACATGTTATTGGCCGTACTGGAAGACAGTTATATACTTGACTGATCGCAAATTTATTACTCAAAGGGAAGAACTAAAAAGTACAAAACACATTTCACTGTATGCTTTGCCACGCAAGTGTTTCTAATTAAAACACGAATACAATTTTGTTCTGTCTTTGTCCCAGTTTTACTCTAATTGGGCTATCAGCATCACGTGACGAGTTGAAGACTGTTTAGAATTGTCGGACAGCAGTGCATTACTTTGCGTTCAGTGACTACCTATGCAAGAAGATGTCACAGAACTGATTCTGAAATCTTAAGTGACCGCTTTTGCATGTACAGCTCCCCAGATTTGAAATCAGGATCTCAGCTGTGCCAGCTTAGCACTCAGACCTCTGAGCCCACTGGTCACCTCCAAATATAAACATTCTTAAAATCACAAAATGTTTTTTCCACTTTTAAATTGAGGCTCGCAACAATAAAAATAAATGCAGTGCAATCCTCGGCATTAACACACAAATAAGTATAGTGTAATAAACTGAAATAATTGTGATTTTTAGTTCATCCCTGTCTTCAGATGAACGTCTAGTTGTTGCTCTAGTCAGATGCTACCTTAAGTGTTACAAAACAAATACCATCCTCATGCATGAACTCGCATACATAAAAGAAAAACAGCTTGCATTTTTGTCAATTAACACCCACCATAGTTTCAACGGTAAAAAAAAAGTTCCAAAGGGGTTGCAAAACATTTTCTCAATTAGGGAATGCCACTGGCATTACATTGCCTTGATTAAAGGCAGACACACCAAATGGAAACTCATTTCCTGGCCAGATGGATAAGGTGGCACACCAATGAATATTGCGGCAGTGAGTCAAGTCGGCCCATCATATGAAACTATTGTGTGTGATAAGGACCGGGCCTTTCACACAGCCCTTGATGACAGATTAGCTTCCCTACAATTTAACATCCGTACAAAATGGGTGTTTAACCACACACATTAAAAAAACATTTAAAACTTGTTTTTACAATGCCCCAATCTCTTAGGACACAATACGAATGTGTCGCCAGTCTCAACTCAAACCTTTCATTCATAAAAAAAATACTTATTTGCAATTGTTACAGCCAAAGCACATTGCATATGAACCATCTGAGCTGCACCCTGTATTCAGGTGATCGATGTGTGATGCTCATGCACACTGCCTGGGCCGTCTTGTTCCTGCTCTCGGTCCTGTTCTGGACGCTGTACGTGTGCATTGCCATTGTACAACGTATTCTGTTTATTTTATAGACTTAAACGCGTGTGCTATGTACAAGTCACTCGATACCCTGGACACTCTTGCAAATGAGATTATCCATCAAGCAATTGTCCACTTAAAAAAAATTGGAATATACGTCTAGTTAGTATTGCCTTTGTTGCTGGCATTTTGAATATGCTATTATCTTTTTCTCCACGTGCAAAATATGGAACTGTTGCGAAGGAACTGCCTGCCCTGTGCTTCCACTTCACTGGCCTATCTCATGTACTGGGTAAGGCGGTATGGAAAATTACAATCAGGTTTATAGAACCGAGTCACCACGTGGTAAGAAAACTTAGTCATATTAAATTTACTGCCAGGATACGAGTGAGATTCTGGAACAGTTGTGCGTATGTGAGCACACATACACAGGCCAATTGCACTGCCTGCTGTCACCATTCCACAGAGGTGCGGTTTATTTTTGTTCAACTTGTTAAGACTGTTGTATCCCTTTATGGGAAAATCAACAGTGGTTGTCCATGGTGAGACTCGTCCACGCCATATGAATATGGATTGTCCACCACTAGCTCAGGGCCATAAAACAGAAGATGAACACAAATGCCTCAATGACCTTCTTTTAGACAGACATCACTTTGACTTTCACTTTTTATTTAATTTATTCTGACAGCTTCCGAATGGATCCAACGTTGGCCTGACCATTCTTAAACAGGGACAAATCGCCCTCTGCTGTCTAAATTCGTGCTGCGTACATTAGGAAGTAACCCACCAAAAAGGATATCTCAAAGACGGTGCTCTTATCAATGCGAGAGCAATCTTGAGCTCGTGGGTAGAAATTCGATCGTCTATGCAAAGGACAAACCAATGTTGACATCCCACAAAACAGTACTAGTTTTATTGACCCAGAACAGAAGATGGGCCAGGTCAAGCCTCTCGACCAGAATTTAAACAAACGACTCTGCCAGCGAAGTGCTCCGTCACTGCGCCCATCGGCTCAATACATTCCATTTCTGTACGGCGTTCGTTTTTTATTCACCACGATTGGAGTTTTGGCGAGCAGTAAGAATGGCACCACATATGAACACAATGAATACGTCGTCATTAAAATTTATAATGCGTCTCATTATCTCATTTAATAGCATGACAGCGTGAGCAATGACTTGATTTAGGGGACTTAACGGTGGTAGAAACGTGTTTAAAGGATACCTGGCCAGGCATGGTAGCGCATGCCTGTGATACAGCACTCCGGAGGCGTACGAGGGTTGGGGGATTACGTACATATTTGTTCGGCTCCTAACATCGCGAGGCTAGGAGGTGACCATAAGGCGGCAGCACAACAAATGGGTTGGGGAACATCTGTGCAGACCTTTTGAGAGTTATTGCCTCTCGTGCGTGGGGCTTCTCCACGCACTATGCTCTGCTCTCAGGTTTCTTTTTGCTCTTAAGAGGAAATCGGCCAAAATAGTCCCTCCAAAAAAATATCCTGAAAAAGTACTGAGACCCAGGGAGGCAATATTAACACGGGAGAAAAATCATGCACATGCATGGCTCCTGTAAAACTTTACAACATTTGTTTTCAGCGGCATTTAATTGCCAATATCCTTACATTTCACACAGCGCAATGAGATTATGGCACTTGACGTGTGAAATCACATTATATCACCACGTAATGACGTCATCGGGAGCTGGAGACGCCAATGCGGCACAAATGCAAAGGGGAATTTTTCGGCAGCCCTTTTATCAATCGTGACAGTTCTACTTCGAATAAGGCTCGAATACCAACACAATTTATTGTAGAGTTTTGTTCATATTGGACCACATTCACAGGAGTTATCACACGCACCCCGCTCTAGATGGACGGATGGAGCTTACGCATTAACACTTTCACCCTTAGTTGGAGAGCATTGAAAACGAATTTAAAAATATAAGAATGTTATTTCGATGGGATTTTCAACCCTGTGAGGGTGATGTGACCGGGTCAGAGTGGCGGGTGTTGCATCGGCGTGCGGCATCGCCGGGGACTCACGAATTATCTCCATGAGCTCGGCGGAGGGCAGGGCAGGCTTCACGAAGCTGGGCTCCTTGTTGGAGGCCGTGCCCGTGATGGAGTGCGACGCCATGAACTCGCGCGTGTACAGCGACGACAGGAGCTTGTTGGTGAACTTCTGGGCGCTCTCGCAGCCCTTAAACCTCCACAGCAGCTCCATCGTGATGAACTTACGTGAGCGGGGCACAAGGTGACAAGCGAACACACACACACACACATGGGGGGAATCATGTTCTGTTACAACGGGGAGAGGGGGAGTGGTGGGGCTGCCAGTTGTAATTGCGTCCGTGTATGTATGTTGTGGGGAGCAGTAGTGCAAAGGTTAGCGCACTACGCTACGAACCCGGTGACCAGAGTTCAATTCCTGATCATGGCCAACACCGGTGACGATTATCTGAACCGGTCCTGGGCATCCCCTAAGTCGACTCAGCCTCAAATGAGTACCAAGTGCGATGTGTAAAAACATCGTCATTGGGGAGACAAAGGCGGTCGGGCATGGTGCTGGTCACCCACCCCCTCGTGTGCCGTGCCGGCCTTCATAGGTGCTCGCTAACAGCACTTGCCCCAACAGTCTGTTCCAGGCTATACGGGGGATCTTTGTATGAACGTCGAACTTCTTTCGCACCCATGTGTAGCCAACTGTGCTAACTGGAGCCCAGCGCACTCTTCACAACTGTACAGACAGCCAAGACAGCACCCACTGTGAGGCGTCAGGAATACACAGGGAAAGCGATTAAACGTAAAGGGGTTCTGGAACGAATTTGAACAACAAATTACAAAGATGGTTTATCTAATAAATACGTGCCCAGGCTGCGTGCTCCAGACCGTCCGTGAAGCTTCCTAAAATTATGGTCAGGAGCTCGATCACAGCGCCCAAGGGTGTCTAACATCGCACTGTCTCCCGCGTCAGCTTCTCCTGTTCACCTGCTCCCCCTCCCACCCTCCAGTTTTTGTTCCCTACTTTAGTTCTGTCTTGAGATGCAGTTGCATTTACATGCCTTATAAATACAATGTGTTACAGTTGTCACATAGCAGACAATGAACGGGGAACGAATGAGTGGGTATTACTCGCAACAATGTGAACGCCAAGGTATTTCAGGTCACTCATACTCAGACGCATTTTGAGCTTTAATCTCCATGTCCCTATGCCCAGAACAAATCTATCGATTGAAATCTCACTAATGCGAATTTGCATCGCGTGATACTGTCCCATCTAGCGGTCCTGATTTTACCAGCACTGGAACAGCTGATGGACCGAGTCTATCATGACCTCAGGGACTCGGTGGGAAGCCAGAGGCTCTACCAACCCGAGCAGCACCTCAAAAACATTTACAAAGTGATGTCTTTCATTACAAAGTGACATCAAGGTATCTTACACTCCTGTCTCATCACTGCTTGTCGGCTACATCATTTACATTTGATCCGTTATCACCTGCTTTAAAGCAAATGGAAAGATGAAAACATTAATTGGCTCAGTGGGTTTTTTCACATAAAACTCTTTGAATGAAGCATCATTTGCAGCAGACCTATAGCTATTCCCATGATGAAAGTCTCGTAAAATATATTTAGATTATAATTATTTACAACAAAGAGTCAAATACTGTTGTGAATCTAATCAGCCTGATCAATACACACCAGAGTAGCACGAATACATTTCAATCGGGTGCCAGGGTGGCGGAGTGGTCATAGATGTGCCTCACAGCAACAATGCCTGGATTCAATTCCAGACTTGGGTGCCTTTCTGTGTAATGTTTTTATGTTTTTTTCTCCTGCTCTACATGGATTTCCTCTGGGTTCTTCAGTTTCCTCCCAGAGATAAAATCACCTACAATGTAACCGACGTTGGCCAAACATCCCAACGTTGAAAAATAACCTGCAAATTACTCAAATGTTATTACACAATGAAACATCGCCCCCTACTTGCGAAAACCTGGCAGGACCCTCCTAAAGAAGATTTAAGACTCGGCGAGACTTTCCTGGGTGAAAACAGGCAGGTGGCATCCTGTGAGAGCCTTCGTTACAGCACTGATTACAGAAGCAGGCAGGAGCAGGTAAACGAGAGAAAATGACACCGCAACAAGGCACACTGGCCAGGCTGCATCCGCTTTGCCTTGTATTCGAGACACGTTGTAGTCGCGACGGGCACGCACCACCCTGTGCAGGAGCCACACTCCACTCGGAGGTGCACCAATTATATTATTTATTGTTAGTGGTTGCTGCTTGCTGAACAGAAATTTTGTATGAAAAAGGAATGGAAGTTTACTGACATTGTCTTGAGCAACAAGGTCGATGCACAATTCAACTTAAGACGGAATTTAAAAAAATGTGTGCCTATGATCACGAGGACGGGATCGTTGGTAGTAAGTAATAGCCTGGCAAGAGCCTCGAGGGTTTTTTTATTGGTTTAGCAGAGACATTGAGAGCTTGAGTCTTAGAAGTATTAAAAGTGATGTCTATTGCGGCTGCACTGCAGAAGCAGAGGTAAACGTGACACTGGAATCGATTCTGGCTGCTGCAGCATTCTTTAGCATCAGCCAGAGTGTAAAATGTGGACCTGCAAAGTAGCTTCATTCCACCAGCATGAGTAGGTATGGTAGCTTGCTAGGGAAAGAAGACCATGAATGAACGAGAGCAAAGGGTGGGGGTAGGAGATATGCCTGGCATACATGCACGCACGGAAAGTGGGTCAGGGCATACGCCATATTTACTTATGTTATACTTAGCAAAATCAAAGCCATTGATCTGCTTGGCACAACAATCTCATCTGACCTGTTATGGAATGTCTATGTTACTAATTTAGCCAATGAGGCATCCAGGAATGTTTTTTTTATTTTCCATACCAAGCCTTCTACTTTAACACATTGTTACCAAATAAAGAATAATGTTGTCCTATCTAAGGTGAAGCAACCAGTTTCTACCTCACTAAACTGGATAAGATTCAACGTTGACTGACGATCCAGCACTCATTGATTCACTGCAGTCACTCGCTCATCGGCGGTGAGTCACCTCCTTATAACTCCTTGTAAGGTATAGCCCTGCAATTGCTGGCTTACAGCACTCCTGACAGTAGGGCCTCTACTATAGGGAATGCTCAAGGGTGTTTTGGCCTACTCTTCTACGCTGGCCAGACGTCTTAAAAGAGGTGGGAGTACCCACACTTTACCCCACCACATGCGAACTGCCGATTGACTAACTAGTAGCGCAAAGCACTAACCACTGTGCCACCGCGCCCTGTACACATACGCATCCAGACAATTGTTAACAAAAGCATACCCCTCACGCAGAAGAATATGAATGGACCTTACTTCTGTCTTTATCGGTTTGACATCTAGGGGTTGCAGTGGTTTCATCTCAAACTCTTCTTCCTGAAACTGCTGCTCTTCCCGGGAGAGAAACTGAATACGAGCACAATCCTCTTCCAGGGCCACCTCCTGGTCTTCAATGACTTGCAGCCTCTGCTGCTCAGCCGGGCTTCCATGGCTGTCCGCGCAAAACTGTTGTCTTGGGTACAAAAACTTTTCAGTTGCCGCCGTGCCAACGCTGTTCAATGCAAACATTCTGTTCGTCCTCTTGGACTCCTCCATCTGGTGGCCGTACGAAACGGCAGGCGAGTTTTGTTTACCCTCCACGTTCTCTGCGTGCAGAGGCAACGGTTGCCCCCAAGAGCACTCCGCTGGGGAGCTCGGGCACGGCCGCTTGTCCGTTGGCTCTTCGCATTTCACCTTCACCGAATGCACAGGCTCGGTGTCCAACACCCACACTTCCGCGGGGCCGCAGTTCAGGTCCGTCCGAGTTTGGTCCGCGACGTCGTGAAGGGCGTCGTTCAAGCACGGCCCGTCCCACGACCGCTCACCGTGCCCCACCAGCTCCGTGCTCTGCGCCGAAGCCGTGGAGTGGCTCGGCGACACAGGATCCCGGCAGGTCCCAGAATGCAGCAGTGCATCCGTCTGCCCGACCAGCCTCTCCACGCGGTCAGCCAGCATCCCCAGCCCTGCGGCGCACGGACGCACACGCGCGGGGAAGCAGGGCGATGGGTTGTGTCAGGATTCGCTTGGATGGCAAGACATCCCGATTGTCACTAAATGTCCAAGAGTTAATTTGCAGACATTGTATCTCAACGATGATTGTGCTCCTGAAGGGCTTGTGTTCATGAATACTACATAAAATAAATGGATTTTGAATGGGCCATTAGAGGGTAATAAAGCAAGGCAAATAACACCATTTAAAGAGACTAAAATGAGCACCACTCAACACTCATTTGTGCAAGGGGACAGTCTAACAGATATTTAAATACTGGTGAGAGATACACGAGTTTCCTTCGCAAAGGATACTCATCTCAACAGGCCCGTCCCAAGGTTAGAAATAATATTCACGTACTACATATACATACCACTAACCCACGAGGAACTAACTGATGTCAGTAATTTGTTCATCAACTTAGCCACTAACAATCAGATAGATTGTCAATGTTGTGGATTTGCTCTCCAACACACCTGTGTGCTGTACTAGTAACGAATTGCATATTCTGTTTACGTGACAAACCTTACTGATTGGCTGTGTCGGGTGGTGGCGGGTTGAACGACACATTTACATATTTACACGATCTAACCCAAGAAAACCTATATTATGGAATCAAGATAGTTTGGCAGTTTCATAAAAAAACATGGAGCAATATCTCTTTGCTGGGTATTACACTCGACTAACATCTCACCTTTGAATCACATATCAGCGAGTTAATCCAGTAATGCACTCACCGCAACCAAGCTCAATTACATCAGAGAATGACTCGATAATAATGTTGCGAATACCATAGCACGTACAGTGAGGGAAAAAAGTATATGATCCCCTGCTGATTTTGTACGTTTTCCCACTGACAAAGAAATGATCAGTCTATAATTTTAATGGTAGGTTTATTTGAACAGTGAGAGACAGAATAACAACAACAAAATCCAGAAAAACGCATGTCAAAAATGTTATAAATTGATTTACATTTTAATGAGGGAAATAAGTATTTGACCCCCTCTCAATCAGAAAGATTTCTGGCTCCCAGGTGTCTTTTATACAGGTAACGAGCTGAGATTAGGAGCACACTCTTAAAGGGAGTGCTCCTACTCTCAGCTTGTTACCTGTATAAAAGACACCTGTCCACAGAAGCAATCAATCAATCAGATTCCAAACTCTCCACCATGGCCAAGACCAAAGAGCTCTCCAAGGATGTCAGGGACAAGATTGTAGACCTACACAAGGCTGGAATGGGCTACAAGACCATTGCCAAGCAGCTTGGTGAGAAGGTGACAACAGCTGGTGCGATTATTCGCAAAGGGAAGAAACACAAAAGAACTGTCAATCTCCCTCGGCATGGGGCTCCATGCAAGATCTCACCTCGTGGAGTTGCAATGATCATGAGAACGGTGAGGAATCAGCCCAGAACTACACGGGAGAATCTTGTCAATGATCTCAAGGCAGCTGGGACCATAGTCACCAAGAAAACAATTGGTAACACACTACGCCGTGAAGGACTGAAATCCTGCAGCGCCCGCAAGGTCCCCCTGCTCAAGAAAGCACATATACATGCCCGTCTGAAGTTTGCCAATGAACATCTGAATGATTCAGAGGACAACTGGGTGAAAGTGTTGTGGTCAGATGAGATCAAAATGGAGCTCTTTGGCATCAACTCAACTTGCCGTGTTTGGAGGAGGAGGAATGCTGCCTATGACCCCAAGAACACCATCCCCACCGTCAAACATGGAGGTGGAAACATTATGCTTTGGGGGTGTTTTTCTGCTAAGGGGACAGGACAACTTCACCGCATCAAAGGGACGATGGACGGGGCCATGTACTGTCAAATCTTGGGTGAGAACCTCCTTCCCTCAGCCAGGGCATTGAAAATGGGTCGTGGATGGGTATTCCAGCATGACAATGACCCAAAACACACGGTCAAGGCAACAAAGGAGTGGCTCAAGAAGAAGCACATTAAGGTCCTGGAGTGGCCTAGCCAGTCTCCAGACCTTAATCCCATAGAAAATATGTGGAGGGAGCTGAAAGTTCGAGTTGCCAAACGTCAGCCTCGAAACCTTAATGACTTGGAGAGAACCTGCAAAGAGGAGTGGGACTAAATCCCTCCTGAGATGTGTGCAAACCTGGTGGCCAACTACAAGAAACGTCTGACCTCTGTGATTGCCAACAATGGTTTTGCCACCAAGTACTAAATCATGCTTTGCAGAGGGGTCAAATACTTATTTCCCTCATTAGAATGCAAATCAATTTATAACATTTTTAATATGCGTTTTCCGGATTTTGTTGTTGTTATTCTGTCTCTCATTGTTCAAATAAACCTACCATTAAAATGATAGCCTGATCATTTATTTGTCAGTGGGCAAATGTACAAAATCAGCAGGGGATCAAATATTTTTTTCCCTCACTGTATGTACATTTAACTTTTTTCGCACCGGACATAGACAACTGTGTTAATCAGAGGTGTTGTGTGAAGAGAGAAATGGACGAATGACCAACTTCGTCAAAATATTCAAATGTTAGAATTTTTATATCAAAGCCAACACAGAGCCAAGCTGAAGTTACCCCACAGAGCACCCAGCCTCCCACGTGCGGCTGAAGCGCATTACCAGTAAGGCAGCGGATCTGATTCTTGAGATGCCTGTTTTCTGCCTGCAGAGCAATCACCATGTTCTTGAGTTCTTCCTTTGACTTTTCCTCAAGAAAGTAGTCCTGCTGGAGAAAATCAGCAAGCATTAGTGACAAAAAATGGACCAATCCAATTGCACAATAATTACAATTAGACAACGTTCCCAATAGGGTCAAAGAATCAACGAAGTTGATGAACTGACTTAAAGTTGTCATCGACTACTTTTCACGCGGTCGATTACTCAAGCTCCTTTGGAAATGTCAGCCAGCCCCACATCACCCCCTCCAGATAAGCTGCCTACTGGGAGTTTTATGCATGGAGAATTAATGAATTACGCACTAAAATTAAAATGTAACGGATAATGCATGTAATACACGTAGACATTTTGCTATACTCACGGAGATCGCATGAGAGAAAGAGATGACTCATGAGCGGAGTCTGAAAATAGGGGCGCATTCAAATTCATGAAGCTCTTTCTCACAGATGTCCAACGATGTGGACCGCTAAACTACCGTATGTATTTAGTTTTTGTTTAATATGGAGGTGCAGAAAATTTTCAATAATGCGTATTCCGAACTTCCAACCACCATATTGGGGCGCCACGGTGGCGAGATGTTAACTACCTCGCCTGGTATACAGGATGTCATGGGTTCGATCCTGATCCGAACCCTGACGCCTGCTATATATTTGGAGTTTGCATGTCCTTCCCGTGGTCGTGTGGATTTTTCTCCGGGTCCTCCGCTCTTCCCTCCACATTGACAATAACGCGACGCGTTTAGGTACTGACGCGGTCCGTGGCAACTGCCGTAATCAGCACAGCTAAAGACCTAAACTTCACGAGTTTACTTCTTTTCTTTTTAGTTTTTAGCCAAGCAGGTAAATACTAAGCCTGGTAAAAATGGCTAGAGATCAACTTCATATTCAATGCTTCAGACACAGCAGTCACAACACATGTTAACATAATAGGTGCAGTTAATGCTTGCAGAAAACCGTACACACTCAACAAACGTTAAATCATGCATTTATCTACAAATAACTTGACTGCGGGTTTATTTCCCTCATTAAAATACAGTGAATATTTAATAAAATAAAGTATTGTCAGTGATAATGCTGATATATGCATGTTGTTATTTTTGGAAACATCCAATTTCAACAGTGAAAAATTAGTACAGTGAGGGAAAAAAGTATTTGATCCCCTGCTGATTTTGTACGTTTGCCCACTGACAAAGAAATGATCAGTCTATAATTTTAATGGTAGGTTTATTTGAACAGTGAGAGACAGAATAACAAGAAAATCCAGAAAAACTCATGTCAAAAATGTTATAAATTGATTTGCATTTTAATGAGGGAAATAAGTATTTGACCCCCTCTGCAAAACATGACTTAGTACTTGGTGGAGCCCATTGTTCTTGTACTTCCTGTCGATTGTGTGTACTAAAATAGTCGTACCAACAGTAATCCCTATTGAAGTATGGTGACCTGTATATGCATGCATTTAAACAATGTACTATTTGATTATTCGCTTAAAAACACCAATACGGCTGTATCTGAACGGTTACAATTATTTTGTATTTCTCTCAATTTCTATAAATTCTCTAATTTGTCTTGGTCAGCAGTAACTAGTTTTGCACAGAACTTCAACATTATCAAAATCAATTGAGTGTCCTTGTTGGCACGCATGTTCCGCCACTGCTGAGAGTGTATTTGGGAGTATTGAATGTCTTTGGTGTTCTTTTAGTATCGTGCTGATCATTTGCCCTGTTTGCCCAACATACCATTTGCCACAAGTGTAATCAATCCGGTACACACCCAATAGCTTCAAATGTGGCTCTGATATTTTGTTTTCCAAACATCTGGCTAGTTTATCAGTTACTCCCGCAATGTACGGTATTTTAATAGTTGTAATTACTTTGTCAGTTTCAATACTCGTGTTATTTGATTTGGTTTTGGAATTCAATCCCCTGTTGATCTGTGCATCATTGTAACCGTTCAATTTCAGCGCTTCTTCAACATGTTTAATTTCACTTCTCAGACTCTCACCATCTGACACTTTCTTAGCCCAATGTATGAGCGTCTTGATGAGAGCAGATTTCTGTGCGGGGTGATGGTGTGACTCTGCATTCAGATAGGTGTCAGTGTGAATTTTCTTTTGGTAAATGCTGTGTTATTTTACCATTTCGATCACGTCTGAGCAGAATATCCAGAAATGGAAGAGTTATGGCAGCTTCCACTTCCATGGTGAACTGGATGGATGGGTTTTGCGAGTTAACATTTGAATAGTTGTGATGAGCAGCACACACATCCATACCAGCACATGCCCCAAGGTAGATTCTCGGTTATTTGGCATTGCCACGGAGTCTATTTAAAGCTTGACAAATACTCTAAAGTGAGAAATAGGGCTCCTTGATCTGGTACATCTAATATAGCCTTGCAGTTAAGGTGCGACTCTCAGGTCCCATGGTTCCATCTTCTTGTGAAATGGTTTATTTGTATAGATATAAAATAAAACCTAAAAGAAACGTCAAATGGAACACAGTATTCCGTTTGAGTGGCATGCAGGTAGCACTCTCTTCGTAATGAAACAAACTGCTGAGTTTACCCTCAACCCTGGCTTCACATAGAGCACAGAACCTTTTTTGTTTCACAACGCTAAATTGGGAATTATGAAATACATTTCAACACCCCTTGGAGTGGCATGTTTTTTTCCTAAACATCACTGGGCACTGACTATCATTTCATGATAGTTATGAATTAAAAGTATTCCTTATCCGAGACAAACTAAAAATGCCATAATGAGACCATTTAAAAAAGTGGTAAACAAAACAGCGACTACAATAGCACAGTGAAACCTCTCAAAGCCACACTCAAGTAAGCCAGTGTTTGGGGTAATCTGGAAATAAATACAAATATATAAATTAATAAACGTCCCTTTTTACACTCTGAGTGGAACACTGTTCGTGCACTAATTAAACTATTTTTTTTATTTTACCAGGCAAGGCCCACTGAGCTATATAGCTCTTTTTCAGAAGCAAACTGGCCACAAATGAAAGCTCAACAAAGTGGCTTATATTTCGATTTAAAGCTTTCGTGACTGCAAGGATTCATCTTCTTTGGTTCTTTCGGTAAAGTCACGTAGAATGAGAATAAAATAATAAATTGATAAAATAAAATAACACAATAATATTCTCATGACGTTTCGGCCACAACACAAGCGGCCTTCATCAGGTGAGCGGCCTTCATCAGGTGAAGGCCGCTTGTGTTGTGGCCGAAACGTTGTGAGAATATTATTGTGTTATTTTATTTTATCAATTTATTATTTTATTCTCATTCTACATGACTTTACCGAAAGAACCAAAGAAAAAGTGGCTTATCATGTAGCAGCCAAATGCCCTAAACGCACGTTTTAAAATCTGGAGAAAAATCCACACGACTACAGGGAGAAACATACAAACTCCAAATATAGAGGCGTCAGGGTCGGGATCGAACCCACAGCCTCCTGTATACAAGGCGAGGTAGTTAACATCTCGCCACCGTAGCGCCAATTAACCTTCCTGCAGTAGCACACGAAGTGTGTGTTGTGCACTAGCAATGGTTAAGCGATTTGAAGATGTTGCTGTTTGGAAATTGGTTAACCGGTGCCCTTGGACACACCCCTCTCTTCCACGTGCATTGACACATCTCTCTCGTTATTGCCATATTTGACAAATAAATGCAATTAATTATTCAAGCCCAGTCAGAATATCTCTACAGCCTTCCACATCTAATAAACATCAGCCTTCTACCACTACTTCATGGTGCCAGTGATGAGGACTGAACTGTACAGGAATGATTTCTTAAGTGTTATTGAATTGTACATTTTAAATACACGTTGGTCAAATCAACACTGATAGGTAACCATCACTAAATATAAAATACATCATGGACTCTCATGTATTTCTCTTCATGGACTGTGTGTGTAAATAAATCTGAGAGGATGATAGATTTTATTAAGTAATACTGGTGATGCCACAGTTGTGGCAAAATTAACTTCCACGAGTTATCACTGGCCTGCTGCTGAGTAACTACCATTCTAATTTACAATATAAACACAGCATGACATTTATACGGACACAGACGCAAACAGAAAGGCATAGGCACCACATCTAATGCCTAATTAAATTAGGGTGAGACATTCTGGCGCAGCACACACAAAGAAAACAACACATTCCAACACAAATGCAGTAGAGACACGTGCTTAAACTTACTCAACAAACACTATAACACGAATGATAACAACATAATTCACTGCTAAGCAGAGGGGACGTAAGCACAGTGCCTGTGCTCAAAAGGCCACGAATGACGGTTAAAAGCCTGCTGACAGGATGTTACATGACACAGCAATTCATTATGGGTTAACAGGCTCCTGACTGATACTTGTACAAGGCCTCGAAGCTCCCGTATGCTGTTTGCACTGCCTGGCATTCTACTGGACAGTAGTCACTGCCAGTTGCTAGTAGAATTGTTCGTAAATCTCCTCTATGAACTTGAGTTAACATTGCTGCTATAATAAAAAAAAAACATTACTCTAAAAAACTTAGTAAAAAAAGTATCCAAGTTAATTTTTTAGCCAATGCTGTATACATTTTTACAGTAATTTCCTCGACGAACAGAAGACACTAAGGCATGCAGCAACTGAGCATGTGAACTGCATCATAAGGCCAATGAAGCCATACATATCTAGGAAGCCCAATTGCAGAGCATTTCTCAGAGATGGCTAATATCCTTCAAATACTCATCTAATCAAACTAAGACTAGACAAGGGCACATTGTAGGTAGAACTAGTGTCTGAATGGCAAATAACATCTTTGTACAGAAGTACAAGTCTCGCAAAGATAGAGGAGGGTATGAACAAAGCTGCAAATACCTCATTTGACAATTTAGACAAGGCCATAATAAGTACTTTGCCCACGAGCTGGTCACGTGGTAAACAGCTACTACCAAGGGTGGAACGATTCTCCCTATATTTCATATTACAACTGTCGTGATTCTGGGTCATGATTCAATGCAATAATTTATTATTTTCGTCATAGCCTCAAGTGGCTGGAGG